TTTACCATGAACCAGTTAACATGTTTTCTACATCTTCATAATCAAGATTTTAAGGACGCGTTTACAAAATTGATAGGTATAGAATCGAACTATTACATGAGATGTTATCATGAAACCTTGGAGTGTCCTCAAAATGTAATTCGAGATTTCGCCTGGAACTCCTGGGCTAGTAGAACTGGGTGTGCCGAGTTTGGGCTCGTTTTGTTAGTTATGATGAGTCCTTACCTCCGGACTTGCTGAAGTAACCTGAAGGTGTACTTCGGTAACTAATACTGTAACACCTGGACTAGTAGAACTAGGTATGCCGAGTTTGGGTTTGTTTTGTTTGTTATGATGAAACCATCACAAAACAAAAGTTCTTTTCACTTTGTCTCTAGTACCAATAGGTAGCCAAGCTGATATTCGGAAAAATGAATAACCTCGTAGTAACATCTTTATGGCCAGTATCGATATCCACTTACTAGCCATAAAGATGTTACTACGAGGTTATTCATTTTGCCGAATATCAGCTTGGCTTCCTATTAGTACTAGAGACAAAGTGAAAAGAACTTTTGATTTGTGACGGTTTTATCGTAACTAATAAAAATCTGTGTAAGATATTTTGAGAAATCCCTCTTTAAGGATAGTAAAATAAAATAAAATAAAATAAAAATTATTTATTTCTTTAAAAATTTAACACACATTACATAGATAAGGGAGTAAGTGAGACATCCTTTTAAGTAAATATATACTTGTGGCAGGATGTCCCGCTCTTCTATAGCTAGAATTACATTTTTTGTTTATTATTTAACTAACTTTAATTACATTTACTAAACACAAAAAAAAAATAGAAATAAAAAAATACAAGTAACTAAGCTTATATTTAATTAATAAGGGTTCTGTATAAGTGTGTGATTGTGTGTGTGTGTGTGTGTGTGTGTGTATGTGTGTGTGTGTGTGTGTGTGTGTGTTTGTATGCGTATGTAAAGTTTATTTACTTACTAACTTTTATTAATGCCTCGACCTCATCATAGTTAAGTTTAAGAAGCCATTCTGTGACTATCTTTTTGAGCTCATTAGAATTCAGTGCATAGATGTTTAGTTTTTTATTGACTACGTTGTATAAATAACCAGCCTATCTCATAAATTGGTGACTAGCAAAATTTGTTTTAACTAGAGTTAATTCAAAAACTTTTCCTCGTCTATTACTACTTTTAAAATGGGAAATAAATATTTTATAGGAACGTTTTAAATATTTTTATTGTTAACATGAAATTATGAACGTGGGTTCTTTCTACGGGGTTGCTGAAAGATAATTTTTTTTACGAAAATACCCTTCTAAGGGGGGTGAAATTGGGGTTCATCATCATCATCATTTAGTTACAGTTATATACATATACAGTTAGTGCATATTTATTTATTAGTTTTAGGGCAAGGAAGTGTCCACCACGCTGACCCATTGCGTGTTAGCAAACTTCACATGTCTCATCATCAAGTCCACTGCAGAACATAGGCCTCCCCCAAGTAATGCCACAAACCACGGTCCTGAGCCAAACCACGGTCCTGAGCCACCTGCATGCATCGACTTCTTGCATGTCTTACCGGGTCAACACTCCATCTAGTGAATTGTCGCCCTACACTACGCCTACCGGTACGAGGCTGCCACTCGAGAACCTTTCTTCCCCATCGGTTATCGGTTCTTCGAGCGATATGGCCAGCTCATTGCCACTTCAGCTTACTACTCCGTTGAGCTATGTCGGTCACTCTGGTTCTACCGCGGATATGCTCATTTCTGAGTTTATCACTCAGAGAAACTCCCAGCATAGCCCGCTTCATAGTAGGTATGGCCAGCAGTGAAGGATCACGTTTCAGATCCGTAAGTCATCACTGGCAACACGCACTGGTTTTACAATCTAGTTTTCAGAGTTTGAGGTATGCCTGACGAGAATATGTTGTGTCGTAATTTCCCGAACGCTGCCAAGCCGAGTTGAATCCGTCGATTGACCTCTCGGTCGAAGTTGGACTTACCTAGTCGGACTATTTGTCCCAGGTAAACGTACTCTTCAACAACTTCGAGCTTAGTGCTCTCAACAACTACCGGCATAGGTGTGACTTGAACATTAAACATGATATTGGTTTTGTCCATGTTCATCTTAAAATCTACCCGTTGGGAGACACCATTGAGGTCATTGAGCATAGTGCTTAGGTCCTCCAGCAATTCTGCCATAAGTTCTAACTATATCGTCAGCAAATCGAAGGTGAGTGATGTACTCGCCATTGATGTTAATACCGTATCCTTTCCAGGCCAGTAGCTTGAAAACGTCTTCCAATGCAGCGGTGAAGAGTTTCGGGGCTATAACGTCACTCTGTCTTACATCTCTCTGCAGTTGGATAGGTTTCGAACTCTGGGTTTTTACTCGGATAGCTATCGTAGCCCTACTGTACAAACACTTCAGCAATTCGAGATACCGACAGCGAACTTGGCACCGCTGTAGGGACTGTAGCACCGCCCAAATTTCGACGCAATCAATGGCTTTCTTATAATCCACATACGCCGGGCAGTGGCAGATTGTACTCTTCGGTCGTCTGTACAATCTGCCGGTATGTATGTGGTCTATGGTACTGAAGCCTTTTCGGAAACTGGCTTGTTCGGGAGGCTGGAAGTCGTCGAGTCGAGTCGAAATTGAGGTTGGAAGGTTATATATAGGAATTGTTATGTTTTTCAATTTTGGGGTTTGAAAATCTGCATTTAGGTAGCTTTTTTTATAGAATTAAGGTTACAAATGAGCACACAGTCCACCTGATGGTAAGTGGAGGATGTGGCCTATTGACATCTAAATTTATCCACGATAAGAATCAAAATGCGGATGCGTTGTCACCCCTGAAGACCAAGATGGAATGCCTCGTTTCCAAGTAAAAAACGATCTCCGGATCTCTACACTCACCATACGAAAGACACAGCACAGAATGTCAGCATCAAATAAAAGCTTAATACTGCTATTTTACGCTGGCATTCTGTGCTAGGTGTAAATAATAAAAATCTGTATTACTTATTTGAAAAAATTCCTCCTTATGGGTGCAAAAATAGTGTAAGAAAGTTTGTATGGGAAAGTTTTCATCATGGTCATTGTTAAATTGTGAAAGTATGTTATTTTTAGGAGGTGAGTATCAGTTAAGAAAAGATTTTGCGAAAATCCACTCCTATATAAGTTATTTGGAAAAAACCCTCATTATGTGTGGTGAAATAGGGGATGAAAGTTTGTATGGGAAAGTTTTAATCTTGGCCATAAATTGAGAAGGTATGTTCTATTTAGGGGAGTATCAGCTACTCAGCTAGAAATGTTGGATGAAAGTCTTAATAAAGTTTGGCCGCAGTGGTATTTTTTGTAAAGTGACCTATATATTTATATATATAAACTAGAAATATTGTTTACAGGAAAAAATTGAAAAAATAGAACCGTCAACTCTTTTTTTCCCCCAATAAGTTGTCTTGAATGTAAAAAAAATAATTATTAGGTAAATTGCCACCTCCATGGGTACAAAGTCGCGGATTTTACTAGCGTGTGCGGAGACTTTGTTTCGATAGGTCTCTTCCAGCGGGAAAATTTCATAATATCAGGAAATCAGAAATTATACTTGGTAAAGTCACGGAAAACTGCTAATATTCAATAAAATTTAAAACACTTGAAAAAAACACTGCTTTATTATATCAAAATAATAATCACAAACAAAAATAAAAAATATGTATCAAAGAAACATAATAATCAATAACATTGCAACCTGACTTACTTATAAGTCGCTAGCCACTAAAATTAAACAAAAAACATTATCATTTCTTTAATATTAAAAAGAATAATCTCAAACAAAATTCAAAAATATCCTTTAAAGAAACATAATCAAAACAATTAAAAAATTACAAAACAAAAACACTGCTTCAATAAATCAAAACAATAACCACAAACAAAATTGTAAATATTCATAAAATCATAATAACATCGCAACCTGACTTACTTATAAGTCGCTAGTCACTAAAATTAAACAAAAAACATATTATCATTGCTTTAATATTAAAAAGAATAATCTCAAACAAAATTCAAAAATATCCTTTAAAGAAACATAATCAACACAAGTAAAAAATTACAAAACAAAAACACTGCTTCAATAAATCAAAACAATAACCACAAACAAAATTGTAAATATTCATAAAATCATAATAACATCGCAACCTTGTTGCAACCTGTCTTATAGGTACTTCGTGTCACAACTCACTGCTTAAATAAACATTTCAGTATTCAATTTATGAACTGTGATAAAGTATTATGGTAACCCTACTTCTAACGGCTTATTTATGTACAGGCGGAGCTTACTACTGAGCGGGCATTCGAACGCATTAATAGACTTATTTTCATACAAACGCTTGTTAAAAGTGCGCTCCATCGCCCGCTCTGGGGTGAGCTGAGCCCGTAAATAAATGACCCATAAGGTATAATCTAGACCAGGCGCGCCGCATCGGATTGCACAGAACAATTGCAAAATGAGATTGAAACATATACACATGAATTAGAGTTCGTATTTGCATGCAACTTATGCATACACACGCCATGATTGCAGATAAATCAAGATGCATAAGTTGCATGCCAATACAATTTATTGCATGCTCCTGAGAAAAGATATTATGAGTGGAATGGTTTCGCTATGGGTTTCGGCCTAGTTCTTCGTTTTGTTTCTTCCAATCTGTGTAGGAAGAATGATTAAAGGTCCTTTACTTCTTTTTATAAATATTATTGATGTAACTGTTAAGTTGCATCCACGTTCTCTTTTGAAGAACAGGTTCTTTTTTTAAAACTGCCATACATTTTGCTTTGCCTGGGTTTATTTTGTTCTGTATATAGAATGTAGGTGTTTATTAACTGCTTTTATTTCTTCGTCTGTCCATTTTCTATGCGTGACTTTTCGTCTATGTGTTTTTTCATCTTCACTTTCGATTTCACTTGAACTGGACACTTTTACAGGATGTATCCTTATTCTTTTTTTTTTGCAGAGTTAGTTTTTATCTCGTCGTCACTTTGATCTGCATTATACTTCTTTTTCTTAAATTTACCTTTTTTCTCACTTGTAGTTATTGTAGAAACTCTGGCAGGTCGTGTTTCTTCAGATCTTTTAAGTTTCTCTAAATCAATATCTCTGTTAGCTTCAATATTTTGGTCACTATCCGAGAATGAGCTGGATTGAGTAGATACTTGCAATTGATTTCGTTTAACAAACTTTGTTGATTTTTTGGATTCAAATTGGTTCCCTTGTTTAACATTTTTATTATTAATCACTTTGATCTTTTTATTTTTATGCGCTTCTTCTACTTTTATAGTTTTAAGTTTTATATATTTACATTCAGTCTCTTTATTATCCTTTTCGATGTTTTCAATTAGTTTTACATGTTCTTTGTTTTTCATCTGATGGTTTAATTTTTGATTTTCAGGAACTGCGCTTCTTTTACCGGAGTCTATATTAATACTTTCAGATAATACTTCTAGATGATTGGGAGCATTGTTAGGGTCTACTGTAGCATTACTTATAACTTTGAAGTCTTTGCTGTCCCTGTTTTTTTTTCGGTTGCATCTGATGTTAGTTCGTTTTTACAGCTGTGAGGACTGTCATTGTTTTGGTCTTGTATGAAATTCTCAAACTGAGAAGTAATCATTTCTAACTTGTTTAGATTTATTTGTGATGTATTTGTGTTTTCAAACTCCGAGATCGGATTTTCATTTTCTTGGTTTCCTATGATATTTTCCGACTGTGAAGTAACGGTCTCTATCTAATTTTGTGATCTAATTGTATTTTCATACTCTATCAATTGCGTCCCAACAACCGCTTTTTGTAAGACCTGCATAGGCAATCTGTAATTTTTTGCGTGAACTGTTAAATCATGTCCTAAAAACCCTGCCAGATGCTCTGTGTACTGATCGTTTTGTTTTGAATGTATCTGTGACATGGTTGCTATGTGATGTCTCATGCCAGTAGAAGTCAGCATTTCAGGTCTTTTCAAATTGCAATACTTTTTGATCTTTTCCAGACATTTGCCACCATCAAAAGGTTCTTCCGTGTTAGGTCTCGCAAATAAATATCGATTAGAGCTCGGAATGTTCAGATCTTCACGACAAGCTATTATCAAATCGATGTTTTCTCGCATCGTTTGTGTAAGCAAAATTGGCACGGAACGTGTTCTTTTTCCAGGAATTTGAAATACGTCCAGTTCACCGGTAGATTTTCTTTGTTGAGGTGTTAGGGTTTCTAAAATTTTTTCTGGTATTTCTTCAATTTTTCTATTGATGTAAAATGACAGTTCCGCTTCAGCCACGTCACCTGCTCTTTTTCAATCTAGCATTATTATGTGAGCTATTGTTACGGTGCAGAGATGTTCGTAATTTAGTGCATCCCTATTTTTACTCAATCTTTGTGCATATTTAGCCTCCAATTTATGTATTTTTTCCATGACTGTTGCAATGTCTTCTTCTAATGGAATTATATTTTCTTTAGTCATATTTTTCCGCTTTCTAGTTTTCTCTGCATTTGAAGAAATTTCCCATTCCCAGTTAATTTCAACAAGACGCTTGAAGTCATCCAACTTTTTTTTATACAAATCTTTGTAAGCTGTTGATTCCGTTGACATAGTAGACCGCGTATAGAGTATATCAATACATCCCAAAATGGATGGCCGCATTCGAGCTGGAATACTTGTAACTTTGACGAAACCCGTTTCTTCATCGAACCCACACATGTTTTTGATGCCATCGATAAAAATGTCATATTTTTCAGGGTCTAAAACATCCGTTAGTATTTCTATTCTGTGGTCTTTTTTACGGAGTACAATTAACAAAGTAGCCAAGTCTCTCATTTTAGAACATATCGCTTTTCGGCTTCGCCTTTCTTTTTTCTTCTTAAGTAGTCTTGAGCCATATGCAAGAATCAATGGATCATTTTTCACAACGAGAGAAATTTCATCTGAACGAAGATGAGGCAAAATTTTATCTCTGAGTTCTATACTTGCCGACTCAGATTTAGGTATTGTTACGAGCTTAGGGTTCGTGACAATAAAAATTGCCGATAAAATTACCTAAATTAACACTTTAATTTACTTTACACAAATTAAAACTTTAAACACTAATGATTAAACACACTAATTCACTTAATTCCGCTCCGAAGCTTCGCTTGTGTCGCCGAGTTCAAGTCTACTTGATCGCATCTTGCTGCGCCTACTTATATAAATTAGCAAAATATCCAGAATGTTCAAGTAAACACGCGCAAGGTACCCAGAGTTCGAGTTTTAAACTTCAAGAAGTTTAGTTCTTTGGTTCGAGACTAGATGGCGCTAGTGCGCCGATTTTAGCGCGTAACACTGCCCCCTCCTAAGACATGCTCGTCCCGAGCATTATCGGTCCCATAATAACGCGCTAGGCGATCCACATGGACGAGTCCCTCTTGCGCCTTTCTGTAACGTCTCTGCAATGTAAAGGGCTGTTCTATCCCGTGGTGCACCAACATTGTACAATTTCGGTGCTCCTCTACTACGTGTCTGAGGTCCCCGCACGGCCGCACAACTTGTACATGTACGACACCAATCCTCGATATCGTCACGATAATGGACCCAGTAAAACTGTTCTCGGACCTTCAGTAGAGTTCGTTTAACTCCCAGATGGACTCTTGAACGACCATTATGGCACAGCTGTAGAACATTCGGCACTTTAGCTTTAGGGACAACCATTTGCAAACGACAGCTGTCCCTTCGACCATTGTCCCATTTACGGCACAGGACTCCATCCTGAATCAGCAAGCTGTCCCATTGGGCCCAATAGCTTTTCGTGATTGAACTCATCGCTGAGACGTCCCTCCACTTGGGCTTGGTAGCACGGGCCTTCATCCATCCCAGAATCGGCTTGATGTCCGGATCTTCCTGCTGTGCATGTCGTAGGCTGTCCTTCCACCCGTTGCTGAGGTGGTCTGTCCTGAGCATCCTCACGGATACCACTTCCTTACTCTCTTGCCTACTACAATGGTTGCAATCTTCAGGACAAGGTCTTCTTGTCAATGCATCTGCGTTGCCGTGAGATTTCCCCCTGCAGTGTCTGATAGTAAAGTCGTATTCCTGCTGCTGCTGGGCGGTGCTATTAGCCGCACTTCCTTTCTGAGACCGTTCACCTTCCCTTCCTAGGGTGTGCTTAGGGCAGTTGGACCGAAGATGGCCCCTTTCCCCACAGCCATAGCACCTAGGGCTGTATCTTTTATTGTGGTCGCGAACCGTAACTGCTGTAACCTCCCTAGCGTGAGGTGAACGATGATCCTGTCGCCGCCAGGCAATGCCGTTAGCTGTACTACCCTCTCGAGATCGATCAACTCTCCTTTCCACGGTTAGTTTAGGGCAGCTGGATCGAAGATGGCCCTTTTCCCCACAGCCATAGCACCTAGGGCTGTATCCTTTGCTGCGGTCACGGTCTGTAGCTGCTGCAACCTCCCTGACGCGATGGGAACGATGATCCTGCCGCACGGCTTCCACTTCCAGTTCATGGGCCAAGGCGTCCTTAAGCGTCTCGTGGTGCCCGAGCCTCACAGCAGCTCTGACTTCCAGGTCGCGGATGCCGTCGATGAATGTCTGCACCAGGTTCCCTTCAATTAGCGCAGGTACAGACCGGTATGCTTTTCGCACCAGCTTCTCCACTTCTAGAGCCCACTGCTGCAGGTTTTCGTTGATGCGCTGCACACGATCTTTAAGCTGCGCACGATAGACGTGTTCCAGGTGAGCGTCGCCATATCTCGCCTCCAATGCCTCAAGGAGTTGCTCATAAGTCACTTCCTCACCGAGAGCTTCCAGAACTGTTAAGGCCTGGTCGCGCAGGCCTAGTGTGAGAGCAGTCATGGCCTGACTTTCATTCCAGCCGTTCGCCTTCATAACAGCCTCGAACTGGATTTTGTAGGCTGACCAGGAAGAAGTCCCGTCGAACGGTGGCACCTTGAACCCACGTAGCGAAGGTGCTGTAGCTACTACGGGAGCTGTCGTTCCATCCCCAAGTTTGAGGTCCTTCAGCGTTTTCTTCACGTCAGCCATCACGTTGTCAACCCGATTGTTCACATGGTTGATTCGGGTCTCATGTTCTTCGATTCGGGTTTCAGCTTCCGACAGGCGGTTGTCATGTTGAGCAACCCTATCCTTCACCTCCCTTATCTCTTTCCCAAAGGTAGCGTGAAGGTCCTTCATGAGGAGCATCTGCTCTTCCAACCGACGAGCCTGTTCCGCCTGCTGATCTTCCAACCGACGGGCCTGTTCCTCCTGTCGGCGGGCCTGTTCCTCCTGTCGGCGGGCCTGTTCCTCCTGTCGGCGGGCCTGTTCCTCCTGTCGGCGGACCTGTTCCTCTTGTCCGCTCTGCAGCTGCTCTTTTAACTGACGGACCTGTTCCTCCTGTCGGCGAGCCTGCTCCTGCAGCATTACCATCAGAGCACCTAAGTCGGGTGCTGCAGATGTAGGAGCTACTGACGGGCCTGCAGCCGGCGACTGTCCCTCCGACGTCTGCGGCGTTGCACCACCAAATCTTCGTTGGTCCGTTTCCTGCTGGCGTTGACTTCGGGTACGGACACCCTCCGTTTCCTCCTTAGGTAAAATCGGCATGATTTTATCCCACTTCTGACACCAATTGTTACGAGCTTAGGGTTCGTGACAATAAAAATTGCCGATAAAATTACCTAAATTAACACTTTAATTTACTTTACACAAATTAAAACTTTAAACACTAATGATTAAACACACTAATTCACTTAATTCCGCTCCGAAGCTTCGCTTGTGTCGCCGAGTTCAAGTCTACTTGATCGCATCTTGCTGCGCCTATTTATATAAATTAGCAAAATATCCAGAATGTTCAAGTAAACACGCGCAAGGTACCGAGAGTTCGAGTTTTAAACTTCAAGAAGTTTAGTTCTTTGGTTCGAGACTAGATGGCGCTAGTGCGCCGATTTTAGCGCGTAACAGTATAATAGTGATACTGTTATTGTACAAAACTCTTTTTCTGCAACCCGGAGTAAGACAATCATTAGCACCGGCACCGCACTTCTTGAAATGTCTGAAAAAGGTTGACCTTTTGAATGTGCCTAAACACGTCTTGCATGTCGCAAAAGCTAATTGACTTGATTCTTGGGTGTTTCTTTTAGCTGATATTATAGTTTTCTCACCATCTCTATCAAAACAAACTTTTGAATTATGTATAAAATTTCCCTTGTTTCTTAATTTGTCCGTTATTTCTTGCCTCTTTTGCTTTCTTACTTTTAGATCTACGTCGTTAATAGATTTGTATTTAATTACTTCTATTTCGTTAGGTTTTCTTAAAAGGTGTCTTGAAAAGTTAGTAACAAGGTCTTGACAATAAAAACAAGCATTTCTTCCATCCCATCTACGCTTACCCATTTTCTTGTAATCATGTCTTTGTTCACAACTGTCTTTCGGTATTTCCGGTGATGCTCCTTCTGGACTTTCTATCTGTATTTTCGCTGACACAACTTCATGACCTTCTCTCTGCAATTCCGGTGCAACTACTTCATCTTCTTTACATTGTATCTTGTTAGAGAGTTTTTTACGACGACTTACCATGTTTCTGCTCTTGTTGTTCTGAGTGTTTTCACACTTACGTTTATCACGGTGCATTTGTTTTTTAACTAACTGGTCATCATAGTACTCATCCTCCGTGCTCTGAAATGGTTATAAGGATAAATATATTGTTGTATTGGATGTGTTAAAATAGATGGATAAATGAATTATTTAAAAATTTCAAAATATTTAAGACGTTCAACAGTAGCTATTTTGAAAAATCATTAAAATTACTGTTATCACATAGGCTCCACAACACAACAAGTTAAATGCATTGTGGTAAGCTGTAGACAAATACCTACTGAATTTTATGAAACTATAATTTTAAGTATGTAGATTTCAGTAATATTCTTACAATGTCATCGTCACTCATGTAAGCAGAGTTAGGATCGAAATCGGATTCATCACTCGGTGAAAAGTCTTTTTCTTCAAAGTTGGTTTCCGTTTGGTTAATCTAAAACAATTAAACAAATGAACGATAAAGATGAATAAGAAAATCAATAAAGCTGACATTAACTAATAGGTGCCCATGACGTAGGTAAAATAAATTATAATAAAAAGTGGCCAAAAATTTACCTGATAATGATCTTCTGATTCAATCTCTCGTAATATACCAGAACATTCTGAAACACTTATAGGTATATTATCTGTTAGCCCAGATATATTTTAAAATGATGATAATCCACTGACATCTAAACATGCATCTGGCTTTGAAGGAACTACGTTCCATTGTACATCACCCAATAATTATACCTTCTCTACATCCACCTGTTTACTTACTTGATATTTGTTGCAAGACTGAAAAGAAAACGAATTAAAAAAATCTGAGTATCTAGGTACCTTTTTCAGGAATTTCCAAAATTTTACCTTTCCTGAGGTGAAATATAGGGGTTTTAATTTCTTAAAGGTTGTTTGATATTAAGTTCGACGTCTCTTGAGACAACAAATAAAATATTTTATATTAAAACTCATATTACTAAATCATAAAATGTTTTCTTTTTTTGGATTTTCAAAAATCAACGCTTTATGCGAGCAAAGCCGCGAGCAACAGCTAGTAGTGTTATATGGTGTTAATTAGTGTTTCAAATCGAGGCCAACGTGTCAAAAGTTTTTGGTATTTAGGGCCATAGTGACATTAGGCTACTAGTGAGGGAATTTAAAAACGTAAGTATATTAAACGGATGGAAATGTAATAATAGATTTCTTTTTATTAAAAGCCTAGATACAAATTTTCAGGTCATTATCATTAGAAATCGTGGACTCTATACATATACTTTTAGCCTCCGTTTCACACGTTTAAGGGATGAATTTCGAAAAAAAAATTATGTCTGTAACTTCAAATCAGCGGTTTGGGCTGTGCAATGACGAATCAGCAAGGATAAACTCATATTTAGAAGAGAATATCACAAACTATGTTCGTGGCTTCGCACGAAACGAAATCGGTTTGGGTTACCCTACTACCCATTCGCTTATTATATTAGCCCCAAAATGAAACATATATATAGAAAGATAAAACAAAATAGTTAAAAATTTCTTACGTCCTCTTTAATTTTTTTCTGGGTCACATTTTCTCTTGTACCGGTATTAGTTAATTTTGATAACTCTTGACAATTATCCTCTGATTCGTATTCGGAGTCACAAAATATTTCATCTGATCGTGGTACATCTTTATTACGAATTTTAATGATAGAAATTGTGGATTTGACAGAAGAATTTTCCGATGCTTGATCAGACACATAGACCAAAGGGTTAAGGAACCCTTCAGCATTGACTGCTTTATCTGTAAATATTGATTTATTTTCAATAAAAATGTTTTCCCTTGAGAGTGTTGAAATTTTTGCGTTTTTTGCGGCATAATCAATTAATTATAGTGTAGTGTGGCTCACGGTACCCACTTATATTATACATATTATAAACTAAGGACAGTAATAAACAGGGCTTAGAACATAACGGTTGTCTCATTTAATAACGTCATACTTATATGGCGACCGTGCCGGTCGAAGCGCGTAGCACCGACTGGCCACCGATAGTAAACTCATTACAAATATATAAGAAAACTTTAATTATAAATTGATAGAATCAGGCGTTACTTTGCGGAAATCCATTATAATAAAAAATAAAAATATAAATTTCTTTGCAACTTTCCGCTAAACATATAAAATGATGTGTCTTACCTAGATTGAAGCGCACCTCCCGCCCTCCCTCAATTGCATACACTAACTCCGTCACCACTAGACCAAGCACCACTACTCTCAACACCACTATTCCAGGCAAGACACACCATCACCAAGATTGTTAAATCAAGGAAATTAAGGGAGCCATCTTGTTCCAATTCAAGCTTAAATTTAATTTTTTCGTGGACTCTATATATTTTATTAAGGAAAACATCCAGTTGTCTCCTTGTGCCTGTCCAGCAAATAATTATGAGTTAGAACCATAAAATCGGAAGGTGCAGCTTAGAAAGACTCGAGATGAGAAAAGTGGGTGAGATAAATTACGTTATATAATTACTCTGGATACGAAGAATATTGGTCGAAAAGATTTAACTTTATAAATATAAATAAAAAACAAAATAATTGTTATTATACGTAGTTGATTTAAAATTAATAAATACTAACATTTTCCGAAATTCTTGTATTGTTAATACTTCGCACTTTGCACTAACCGGTGTTTTCTATAATACAATTTCCAAAAAGGCACAAAATCGTAGAGATATAAATTTATAATGAAATTATATTATTTAATATTAAATTGTATTATCATACATTTGTATATGTGTCTACTAATGACATTTGTATTGCCATTTGATACCTAATCAAGTTCGACGAATAAAAAAGAAAAATATTACTCAAACTTTATTTTGTTATGTTTCACATGAATGTAATTTAATTTAAAAATACTTTGTGATGCGATTTGTAAAAAAGAATAACTAATTCAAACGTTTGTTCACTGTGTCACAAGTGACATATTTATAAACATATATGACAATTTATTAATAAACGTTAAAAATAGAAATAATTTTACAGTCAAGAAATAAATTTTCTTGATTTTGAAAATAATTGATTTAAATATGTATAAAGATTATTACAAATTTTTGTCAACATTTCAATAAAGTGATTTTTTAAATGGTAAAAGTTTCATTTACATTTTTCAAAAACTTACTATAAAATTGAACTCAGTCGTCTGAAAATTACTTTCAGATTTAAGAGCGCATATTCAAATATGTCCAAGTCGAAATCTACGCGATCGCTTTGGAACGGCGTAATATTGACGCACACTACTATGTTATCTCTGTGTGCGTGTCAGGACGAGCGTGAAGCTATAACAGTTGCCTAACGACGACTACGAATCACTTTGATCTTTGATTATATATCTTCTTTGATACTATTAGAACTAAAATAATAAAAAAATAATAATATATATCTATATAATGGCTTATATAGTGTATAGAAATCGGAGGCTAATATGTGGAAATTGTTTTATTCTTTTTAGTAAATTGAAGTCGGTTTTACATTTTCACCCTATTGAGTATATTATAATATGTATATGTTCTAATTGAAAAATATGTATTGTATAAAATATATATCATTTGATAAACTTTTGTTCTGTTTTATAATGTAAACATAATTCATCAAACTAACAATTTCATTAGTGTCGGCGGGGATTAGGTTGCCAGGTCTAGCAAGTAAAATTTCGGGACGGAAGGTAAAAATAATCGGGGATTTGGTTTTCATATCCGGACAACTACAATGACTACAATATATAGGTTTCTTTGTAGCCTTTTTGTGCTTTATTGAGAGTCGTGGTAGCTCAGGTGGTCAACGCTCACTGTAAATATCACAGTATGGGAGTAATGCGAGAAATTGTGACTATAACTTTACTTTACTTTTGTGTTTTATAATTATTATTCGGGTCTGATCTCATAAACGAATAACTTTTCATCCAAACATCGTAAAAACTGAACTTTTTTTCATTTTAGGCAAATTAAAACATTTCAAATCACTCATTTTAATATAATTCTGTTTAAAACTTTTGTAGTTTTTTTTTTCGACTGGTGAGACCATGTCGTAGTAAAAATATTTTAATGTGGTAGTAAAAATTATGGATTAAAGTATAGAATAAGAAGGTTAGTGAAAATCGGGACATTTGGCGTCCCGATCAATGATGAATCGGGACGTGTCACTAGAACTTTGAAAATCGGGACGTCCCACGCAAATCGGGACACCTGGCAACACTAGCGGGGATCGAGCCCGGATTGTTCGCGTTTACGGCGAGCACTACGTCATTGAGCTACTCAACTCGAGCACGGCTCATATGTTTTATATCTGGGGGCACGGTAGGGCCCCCGCCATGTAGACCAAAACAGTGGCACGGCCGTATCATCATTGCGAGACTTGGTTATTTTACAAGTTATGTTTTTGATGGCATGTCTTTGTTTAATCATAACGTTATCTCCACACTAGGAATTTTTCCTAAGTACATACATCGTTGGGGCAGTTTAAATACATTAATTTCACAAGGACAAACATCCAGACCTGGAACAATTATTTGTAGGTAATACAAATTTTTGTTCCATGTGGGATTCGAACCTGCGGCGCTCAGCGCTACAAATCATTACCAAGTCACTCCGCCACGGAGCCAAAGGAATTGCTTACGTTCAATTACTCATTTCTAAAAAAAATATGTATGAAATGAAAATTTGCCACCATTACATCATTTAATATTTAAATATTACAATCATAAACATATTTCAAAATTACTTACTACCAAAAATATCGCTTATAAAAGTGAATCGTTTAAAATGCTCGATGGTGCTATAGGTATCTAGTTATAGTATGGTGTAGTATAGCCCTATCGGTGTATCAACGCGATCGCGCGGTGTCGGTGAGAAAAAGTAATACGTCCTGTTGTTGGGATTACCCGGAGCGTACTGAATCGAACTGCGTCTGCGCATGATGTTTTATAGTATTTTTAAAATAATTGACAAAATAAAACGAGCTAAAAATTTTTTTGGATATTTAACATTACATGTATTTTGATAACATAATTAAAATAGATGTGTTTATAAGCAAATACATGGAAAAAATTACATTGAAGTAGACAGTTTTGGTGATTTTATAATATTATTTTATAATATTAAATCGAAATATTATCGTAATTTAGGTTTTGCTATACCCTAAAAGACTATATATTTCATTATAATAACGCTTAAAATAAAGTATTTCAGCTTATAATAATGGTTGTATTCAACCTGAAAGATAACTCTGATGCATATTTTCGTAAAACACTGTGAAAGGATTGCCTTAGCCCTAAAAAACCGTCATTAAAAACTATGATTTTGCACTGCTATGTACTAAATAAATACTTCATCTTTCTAAAGCCCTAATTTTCAGCAAATAATTTCCTCACGTCGTTACGATATCGCCTTTGGAAAAACCATAAAACATGTAGTTTTCGACGCGGAACGAATATGCCCTCTTAAGCAGTGGCGTAGCTTCCTTGGGACTAGGCGGGGCTCCTAAGCTCAAAGGGCCTCTCGGCCTACATTAATGACGTTCAAAAATTATATAATATCCTAGTTGAATAATAATTTTTGACTTTTAAATATTTTGACCCCTGACAAATAAATCTCGAATGGCTCGAACTGAAATTACAAGAATTTCTCCATACACATCATCTAAACTAATATGATAAACTAATACAATAAAGCGGACAAGTGTTTTTGCTTTTTTTTTTGTTTGTTTAAACACGCTAATCTCTGTAACTGCCAATGTGAAAAATTCTTTTTGTGTATTATAGCCAGATTCATGAGGAATAGTTTATATTATAGCTATTAGCATCAGGCCACACATCACAGCTAGCCTTAAATGTTGATTTTTCTTAAGCAAGTCAGAAGAAAAAGCGCTCCTGAAATGTTTTTTTTATAGAATTATGGTGACAAATGAGCACACAGTCCACCGGATTGTAAGTGGATGCAGTGGCCCATAGACAGCTACATTTATCTTCGATTAAGAAACAAAACGCAGATGCGTTATCACCCCTGAGAAATAAGATGGAATACCTTGTTTCCAGTAAAAAAGGGTCCCGGATCTCTACACTCACCATACGAAACACAGCAGTGTCACGCTGGTATTCTGCGAGAACGTGGTTCTTCCCCGGTTGAGCCGACCCATTCGTGCTTCAACCATAATATAACTGCAACATAATGATTCCTTATATTTACGCAAACAATACACATTTAAATGATACTAGTTTTTACGAGTTTTATCGCGTATATTAACTTTTTTTATATACCCGACGTTTCAAGCACTTTACAGCACCCATGGTTACGGGGGGGGCACTGAGATGTGCAATATCCAGATGTCATTGTTATCCGCGGTTACAACAGATTAAAATTATTAACTTTTGTTGCGATTTACACGGTATGAACTTATATTCGTAGTATCTTGAAGTCTTGCAGTTGTATTCTTGGGTTGGGATTTAATTTTATTAATTATACGATCCCAAGCAGTTGGTAGCCCCTAGCCATCTTGTCTATCTGCAAGACTTCAAAATTAATAATTTCAGTCTGTTAATCAGTCTGTAACCGCGGTTAACTATGACATCTGGATGTTGAACATCTCAGTCCGCCCCGTGACCATAGGTTCTGTAAAGTACTCGAAACGTCGGGAATATAAAAAAGTTGATATACGCAATAAAATCCGTAAAAACAAGGATTATTTAGCTGCAACATGGCTCTGCCACGTGGTTTATCCATGTGCGCTAGCCTAATAGTGATACGTAAATACAATGTTCTACAAAAATATAGACCTATACTA